AATTTTGACTTTTATATCAATTATTATGCCCTTCATAAATTGCATCCACGATCCTTCAACTTTTTATTTGTTGACTTTGGTCCCCAACTTCACAATTTTTGTACACTTTTAGTCTTTTTTCCTCATTTTGCCTTGTTCTCTTTCTTTAGGTATTTTTGGCCTACAAACGCAAATATTACGTAATTGTGAATAGAAATCCGCTCATTTTTATCAATAATAAATATATTTAAGTATTAAATAAGTGTGCAAAAACACACTTATCAATGCATCTGCCCTCTTACCCTTCACGATTTTCTGTTGCATTCCCCAAGACTAGAACACATAACCTTCCCTTAAGAGAAACTTAAGTGAATGGGAGGTTATGTGTTTGAATCTTGGGAAACGCGATAGAAAATCGTGAAGGGTAAGAGAACAAATATCCTCCTAGAGCGGATAGTACATAAGAAAACGGTTAGGCATGAAGCTCTGGTCTTTATAGATAGAATCTATAGAAAGGTCTTTGGTCCTTGGGTGACTGTCGAATCTCATTGTCCCTAGCCTTATAGTAGGCCAGCTATTGCGGGTCAACCCATTAATGCATGTAGTCGCTAGGACCTACGCTTTAAAGATAGAAGGTGGAAGGACATTTGATGCCAAACAACATGGGCTTGACCTGATGTGGGATTGGTATGCTATTGTCGTTAATAGTGCCATGGCTAGTTTATCGAGTTGAAGGTTCGCCTCTATCCCTATGCCTACATAGTACACCGCCTCAATTTATGTGATCAATCATCTCTTTAGTGATGATCTCATCTTTGATTACTTTTACCACCTTATCGAAAATGGTTGGATTTTTGTTGTAAACACCCTTGTAGTATGGGTTGTTCATGTTGAGCACTACTTTTCGAGGGCAGAATGAGCATCCACATCGAAACTACCCCCAAAGTAGATCAACTTATCAATGAAGCGAGTTAAATAACTTTTCAATGACACCGATTGCTTATCTCATGTCATGGAGGCATTAGAATCGAAGCCGCCTTGGTCTTGAGGACACGAACAAAGTAAGAAACCGCCTCTTTAGATTTGGAAATTTCCTAATGCTTTCGGTGTTATACCACATCTTATCTCCTCCAATGAAAATTGTGTAAAGCTTTACAATTCAATGTTGGGGAGGCTTCTCTTAAGCCCATCTAGTTCTTATAAGTGCTGAGGTGATCTTCTAGTTCACCTCTTCCTTTATACTTGGATAGTATGAAGCTAGGAGAGACATATGAATACTTAATCTCCTAGGAGAAAGGAGGTTATCATAGTCGTCATTCAACTCATAAGACCTATATGGTCTCTCCTTAACTACTCTATAATTGGGATATGATTGGCAAGGTTAAGATGTCAACCTCCACATCTCTTTCAGTTTATCTCTTTCCCCTTTTGTTTTGGGGCCTATCACTTTGCACTCTCTCCTTTTTGGTTCCCCCACTAACCTTGGAAGAAGCTGTAGTAGGACATCTCATGCCTGCTTGGACTTGCACTTATTGAAGGTGAAGTTGCATTATGGAGTTTTACTCCATGATGTTCCCCAAGTTAGAAGTCCGGTTGCCAACTCTATAGTGAGGTGTGTGATGAAAAACCCACCTCTTCGATGATGAGTTCAATAGTGGTTGGTTCGAATCGAAGGGACCTTTTCTTCAGAGATCTCCATCACCGCTCTTCGCGGGTTAGCACTTTTCTTACTAGCACTCATTTTGTTTAGACGCCTATTTTTTTCAAAAGGAGGTCTTCTAGAGTTAATTTTCTTTAAAGTTTGCCATATCTTCAAGGAAACTTCAAGTACTTTGCCTTTTGTAACTTTGAGGATCAAAAAGGCTAAAAATAAGGAACTCTTTGAATTTTTCTTCAGAACTCCCGGTTGTTCTTTATTCAAGTTATGGTATTTTCAAAGGGGTAAGTATATTGGTTTTTCGGGTAGGCTTTTACGCACGGGATATGCTCGTGGTTAAAGTGTGGTCTCTCATAGATGGATACCAACTTGTTGGCCTCAAAAATCAACATAAACACATGGTCAATAGATCTCGGGTCCACTCATGTCCATGTTTCAAGTTCCTACATACTTAAACATTAGATGCATGTGGCCTTCTTTGACGATGAGGAAGGAGGTTGCAAATAGTTTGAAAATCAAGCCAGTCAACGATCAAGAGAGAATGTTTGGGTATGGGATAGACAATGAACGAGAGCTAAGTGTATGTGGATCTGGGTTGAAGAGATATTACCAAGCGATATTAGTATTGAAGTTGTAAATGTATTAACTTTAGATAACACAAAGTATGCATTTTTATGGTGGAATGGAAGCAGTGATGACGGTTGGATGTGCGACACCTAACCTCATCCAAACCACTCATAGGTCAGACCTCATAGGCATCACATCCAGCTATCTTAGGTCAAAGATGATCATAAATGAATTGAAAAGTGACCACCTTATGTCCTAAACTGCCACCTGAAAAGTAGACTAAAAAACATTTTCCATATAGTTGTCAAATCAATCAGATGTACGAAAAATATCGTACAAAAGATCTTTGGGACAAAGGTATTTCATAGAAGATGCCTTGTGAGGCGAGAGCATATCTCTTTGAAAGCGCGCTACAATCAATTGGAGGACCTTGCTTCCAAACATGGAGGTTCGACTGTACATGTCACTTCTACTGAGATGCTCATACATTTCGACCTTCGTGTCTAATTACCTTGGCTAGGTTTTGGAAGGAGAAGTGACATGGAGTGCATGCCTTGAGTGGCTTATTGCTATTTTCTTAATTGGCTGCCACGTGATATGTCTCATGGGACAAGGCTCAACAATTTGTATAACTGCAAATGTAACACAATATAAAGCAGATACTAACACGTGATACAATAAAATAGTTTGGAACAAATCAGCCAATGCACTGTTTAGAACATGAAATTTGTACCACAATGACATTTATTCATTGTTTTATACCAGACACAGATAATTTAACTTAAGCAGAATGTATAAGAACATGATGCCATTATACATTATACATGATCTTGTTGAATCTATACTCTTTTGTCTTGGAGCATTCTATCATGTACGTTGAATTTAAATTATTCAAAGTACCATTCATAGATAGTATCAACATGATTTCAAAGAGTACTCTAACCAGATCATAATATTTATAAACAAGGAATAGAATAACAGATGAAACAAACCAAACGTAATAGCTTCAAGTGTAGAAAATAGAATTATCTGTAGATGTTTATTAGTCTAGCCAGATTCGAGGCAGTGATCATCAATGGTTCTAAATTTCCCTCATATTTTCCATATTGCTTTAAAATCACTTTAAGTTTCTTCGCCTGAATGATGTTCTTCCATTTCTTTAAAAGCCAAATGCTAATCAGGCCCGTCAGAGAAAATCAGTATAACATCAGAACTTGATGGTAGAAATAGTAATGAGACTAGACAACAACGTTATACAGCAATTAGAACAAAAGGACCCTTTACAGCAGATATACCTTCAGAACATGAAAAGAAACAAGACAAACACGGAATGTAATTGAAACATACAACTTTGTAAACTCAAGTAAGGATGAAGCTGATAGATCCTTCAGCCAACGCTGTCATCAAATCTCCTCTCTTTAAAATAAATTCCACATGTACCTAGCATTACGCATTAAATTAGGAAAACATACCTTAATCTGAGAATTTTCCTTTCTCCCACTAATCTACTTCCACATTTACCAAGTAATACGTATACAATCAAAAAGATTCAGAATCCATAACTTCAATAAAAATTTTCCTATTTCGATCTGATAGACAATAACACATGACTAAAAGAGGTTTACAAATATGGTAGTTTTGAATTGATCACAAATATACTTAATGTAGATGGCAACAGAAAGACTCAAGAATTTTGAATGGTACATGCACACAACTAATCCAGCTATTAGAAGGATATATAAGCTTTAGGAAGCTGTTGCAGGCATGTAAATAAAGAAAACTAAAAGGCAAATTTATAAATTCCACAGAACCATCCTCAGTAAACAAGAAAACAATCCCCAAGATTTCATCAACCTATGAGAACACCCATCAATGCTTTTACTAGTAGTCTGCACGAAAAACACCAACATGATTCCAAATGCACCCAGACATCTACGTTTGAATAAAAACATTCAACAAGAAGCCAAAAAAAGCAGGTAAAGGCCTAGCATGTGGCCACGATTAAGTTATTAAGGGTTTTCAGTTTTCACATCTATCCGAATACTATTCTAATTGAAATTTGCATGATTATTTACATTTGCAACTAAGAAACCGGCCTTGGTTGCTCTAAATGCCATTTATGAAGATACCTGACATGAATCATTGATTGCAAAACATTTAAAGGGAAACAAAAATACGATGATAATTCTATGCAACAAGCATCCAAAGTTTGCAGATATTATCACAGTGTCAAAGTTGAAATTTTACATTAAACAAATGGCCAGCAGAAAAGGTAATTTGTACTGACAAGCTTAGAAATATTAAATTCTGAGGAAGTTCTGAACTCTAACAGAAAATAAGCTCTAGTATTAGTTTAGTCTTCTCCTCCTAGGTGTGCGTGAATCTCCACTATCCACATCTGAAATTCTCGAAGTATCATTTCTTCTTCTCGAAGATGAAGTAGAAAGTGAAACTCTGGAATCAATTTCAATAGCATTATCTATCGTCTGACTCCCTGAGTGTATAACAGCAGCAATGCTTGAAACAGAACTCCTATCATCAACTGGTGGAGGCAGTTCAAGATTTCTTTCCAAGGTATTGTTAAGGAAATAGGATTCAACAGACCTCTCAGCGGCTAGACTTTCATCAGAGTTTAATGCAGATGTAAGGTTGGATAAGATAGCAGCATTTGACCTACGAAGTAAAAGTGATGAAAGTCGGTGGTTTTGTGCCACCTCAGGGTTAGTTGGGCTGCTCTCTGTTAGGTCAACCACATCGACAGGTGGCAGTGCTGGAGTTCTTTCTCTACGCATTCCTCTAGAAGTCAGTAACCGATTGAGTAATGAGTTACTTCTCTCAGGTGATTCACGAGGACCATTAGAATTTTGAGACTGGATCTGGACCAATTCTCGACTCAAATCAAAAGTATTTCCAAGACGCCGAATCATTTCCTCCATTGGAATAGTGAATGCAGTGCGCTGAATAGTTTGTCTCCAGCTCTCAATACGCCGTGCTTGGGGCCTGAGAGGAATCTTCAGAATAGAATCCACCTCATGCTCCCATTTATTGTTACCACGACCATAAATTGGGGTCACAGTCTTAACTGTAACCTCTCCCTTACAAACGGGACACTCCTTGGCGTCTGAGTGATGATGTAACCACCGGTAAAGACATGGCCAGCAAAACAAGTGACCGCAGCAGGTTACAACAGGGTCCTTAGCCAAGTCCAAGCATATATTGCAGTCAAAAAAGCTCCCTTCATTACTGTTATTTTTTTCATCATCCTCCTTTTTTCGCAGATCCTCACCATCCAAATAACCACTGCCATTCTCGCACATTTTGGTAACCTCTGTAGGTCTTTCCTCAGCAGCAACACTACCCTCACCAGTCTGTAAACCACTACCGCCAATTAATTCCAAGGCAAGGTTTCTAGTTTCAGGGGGAATCGGAACTTGCCTCAACAATGACCGCAAACGTTGACTCCTCTGCCTGACAGCTTCCCTAAGCCTAGTAACAGGACCATCTAACCAATCCTCCAAGTTTATGGAGACATGAGGATAAGATCCTGAGCCAGACTCACCATCATTATTGAAATGATCAAGAGGTCCCAAATTGAGATCAAGATTCACTGTACTTGGTGTCTCGTCCGCCATCGGAACCCCGATATAAAATGATTCCTATATCTATATACCCACCCTAATCTTCAAGGCCCTCAATTTCCTGATTTATACTCGACCCAATGAAACCCCACATTGCTCCAAAAAAAATAGGTCAAAACCTGAAGTGTGTTTAGCCAGACAACAAAAAAAAATTATCTACTGCTCGAATGAATATAAACCCTATTTTTCTTATTCAAGAAATCCAAGCCTGAAACATTTCTCCGATGAGTCGAATCAGAACCCTAGCACAATCTGGACAGGAAAAAAACAGGAAAAAAAAAAAGGAAGGAAATCAAAGCCCAGATTTCTATTATGCCAAATTTTAAAAAAAATAAAAATCCAACTTCATTAGTCAAAAGAAAACCCCAAATCCTAATGTTGTCTAGTCACGGAAGATAAAGACGAAAACCCTAACCTTTTCGGGGCGAGTCAACCGAATCAAGCCATCAGCTTTATCACTGCGAAAAAGGAAACAAAACAAAAGGGTCACTAAACCTGTAACAAACGAATCTTTTCTCTTAATCTAAACTCAAAATTGTAATTAGCACTCCATACTGAAAACAAGTCCAGTTAAGGGTTCCACAATTACCATGACAAAAGAAACAAAGATTAGAACTCTATGATATCAAGAAAAATACAATTCACAGAGAGACCATAAAAAGATTGAACTTTCGATGAATCGCAGAGAGAATTGAGGTCATGTTGTAATTATCAATGAGAACTGATGCTGTAAGATACTTGAACTGGATTTTCCATTAATTATCGTTTTTATGCTGAAAATTCCGTGAGAGAGATCTGGGTCATACCTATTGAGGAGTCTGGGAAGGATGAATATTGTGTGAATTGGGTTCAACTCAGAACGCAATGTGTGAGAGAAGAGAGGATTCTTCTCTGGAAGAAGTAATTTTGGGGGTGGTGGGGGTGAA